CTCTCTCTCTCTCTCTCTCTCTCTCTCTCTCTGTGTGTGTGTGTGTGTGTGTGTGTTACATGCCCAGTTGGGCGATGTACATATATAACCAAGGATCCGCAATGTGATGGAAAGGACTGAATGGACAATGCAGTGCAATTGAAATCTCAACAAGCAGTGTACATCCTGATACATACAAAAATGGTGCTTTATAGTGCAGAGGAAGACTTAGATACAAGTCCTGACCTGACCGGGACTGACCTCCTTCCCGTAGTACGAAACAGCCTAGCAGAATGCTAGAATACCAATGACGAGCCCAATCAATGTTGCAATGCAGACTACATACATCATCTTCATCACAAGGTGTGAAGGGAGCCTGGCGCTACACACAGGAAGAATGCGCCAGGTCCAGATCATGCACAGACGAAAGAGGAGGGAAACAGACGAAGAAGAGGAGGGCGGAGATGGGAAAGTTGTCAACACCAAGTCTTCGTTACAAGTCCCAAATAATCCCTCGCCAAAATGTCTGAAGCCCAATGTCAAGTCTGGATCCAAATGTCACCAAGCTCTCTCTCTCTCTCGTAGTCTGCTGATGCAGTGAAGTYAGGTAGCGAGAGGGTGAGAGGGAGATGGTGGACTGAGAAGAGGGAGAAGAACTCTTTCTCTCTCTCTCTCTCTCTCTCACGTGCCAGGTACACAGTTGGCGCTGTGCTGCAGGTACCTCGAAGACGAAGCTGGAGCTATGGCGCTGCAGGTAAGTCTCCCTGGCCTCCGCCCAATCTCTCTCTCTCTCCAGTACTACTCTAGCTCCTACTAGCGCCCAGCGCTGAAGACTACTGCTAACGCTACTAGCGCCCAGCGCTGAAGACTACTGCTAGCGCTACTACTCCTGCAGCGCTCCTCCAGAGTGCTGCTGCCGAATCCTGAAGACTACCTCCTGCCTCCTGAACTGCACGTGATGTGCCTGGGAAGTACCTAGGAACTACCTGCAGCCTGCAGGGCGGGCCAGTCTTACATAGTGCTGGTCCGTCCAGGAGGCTGCTCTTGCCAATGCCAAAACGTGCCAGACCCTGGGGTTGAAGCTCAAACAAAGGTTGTCTTGAGAACAGGCCAAAAATGGCCTGAGCTAAAACCCTCGTCTGGTGCCTGAGTTTCAGGGCAGGTTAATCTTATGAGGGTCTGAAAATGGCCCYCAGTTTCAGGCTGAAAAGACTCAGGGCCGGAAAGGCCCTGATTTAGGCTGAAACGACACAGGGCATGTAGGCCCTTGTTTTCAGGCTTTCAGGCTGAAACGACACAGGGCCTGTAGGCCCTTGTTTTCAGGCTTTCGGGCTGAGAACGACACGGGCTTGAAAATGGCCCGTGCAAAGTGAAAGACCATCACTTGAATAGGCGAGAAGTAAAAGCACCGTGAGGTGTGAAGCATACTCGTACTAATTACGATTCCGACTATTGCAGCCTGTTGCAAGCATAGCATGTAACCCCCCCGCCTCCTTATGAAGTCAAGTCGGGTCGAGGGCGAAGCTGACGATATGAAGGTGGAACCTGGACGTGGGTGCGACGTGGAGCCGAAGATACCGACTTGCCTTGCATCTTGCGTTCGTAGCGTGCGAGAACATCCGGAGCTGTTGCTTGGAGTTTCACACGGGTCAACCAACGGTCAGCTTTGTGAGTGCATTACGCAAAGTGTACTAAGTACTCGGCTGGCCTGTTGTCGTAGCGTCGTTGGGAGATGATGTCGCCGACCTCTTGAAAACTGTCCATAGATGGTGGGTCTTGCGATCGTCGCCCGAGAAAATCGTCATGTTCCGCTGGCGTGTAAAGAGCCAACTTGGATCAATGAAAGACCGGGTAGACGGGCAAGTGGGGGGCACCTGAATGGTGAAAGAAGGTCCTTTGGGTGCATCCCCAGCGGGTGCCATGATCGGCCAGGGCCCCATCCATTTCAGGAGGAGCTTGCGAGAGATATCTTGTTCAAGGCTGAATTCCGCGGCGGAAACCCAAACGAGATCGCTGGCGCGGAATGGGCAGATTGGCCTGTTGGCTCATGCGTTGCTGCGTCTTAGCCATCTGGTCGCGTGCCTTGACAAGTAGCTCTTGCATCCGATGCAAGAAAAGAAGATGGTCGTCACTCTCGGTCGTTCGTGGAATGATTGTGTCCAACGGAGAAGTGAGCGGCGAGCCGTGCTCGAACTTGAAGGTCGACATCCCGATAGCCGGGTGGATGGACGAGTTGTATGCCAACTCAACATTCGGCAGCCGCTCAACCCAATCCTTTCGGTCGGGACGGATGAGAGTGCGAAGGAGAACCTGTGCGGTCTGAGGCGCCCTCTCCGTTTGGCCATCGGTTTGGGGGTGGCGAGCCGAACTTGGCTTGAGAGATGAGCCCCATCGTTTGATGAGCGCCAACCAAAAATCGGACATGAACCGAGTGTCGCGGTCGCAGACGATTTCCTTGGGGTAACCCTTGGTTCGAATCCAACCGGCATAAAGAACCTCGACCAACTCCGGTGCCTTGGCATGATAGCGGCGAGGCAAAAACATGGCGAACTTGGTGAGTCGGTTGATCACCGCAAGAATCCCATCCACAGCGGTCTTGCGCTTGGGGAAAGGCCCGGTAATGTCCATGGCAATTGCTTCCCAAGGGGACCGGTAATGGTCGCAACTCGTCGTACGGACGATGGTTGTGGGATTCGCAGCATCGGCAAACCTTGCATGACTCGCAATAGCATGTGACGTCGCCGAGAAGGCCGGGCCACCAAAATCGCCCGCGAAGTCGGCCAATCATGTGTAATGGACTCCAAAGTGTCCGGTGGCGGGAGCATCGTGGAACTCGCCAAGAAGCCGTGTACGCAAGTGAGAGTCACTCGGTACGCAAAGAAGGTCCTTCCCCCGCGTGTGAACAAGCAAGTACCCCTCTTAGATCCGGTAGTGAGAAGGCGCTGGATTAGGAGAGGAGCAATTCGCGTACTTGTCGCGAAACTCTCGGTCGGCTTGGTAGCTGCGGATGAAGCTGTCCTGCAGGTCGTCGCCGATCTCGAAGGTCGAATAGACTGCGGTACAATGATCCGTACGCCGTGAAAGAGCATCTGCAAAACGGTTAGACTTCCTGGGAATGTGCTCAGGAAAGAAGTCGAACTGGTCGATGAAAGTCCTCCATCGGGCGATGGTGCTACGGTCGGTGTCTTGGGTCTTGTAGAAAACAAACGGATTGTTGTCCGTTACCCATCGGAATTGACTTCGACCAAGGAGGAAGTGCCGCCACCGCTTGAGTGCGTGGACGAAGGCTAGGGGCTCCTTCTTGTGTGCATCGTCCATGGAGTGCACGACGGGCACTTTCTTGCTGAAGTGCTTGACCGAGTGCCAGTCCACGCCATCGTGTTGTTCGAGGACGGCACCAATGCCATAGCTGGACGCATCCGTAGTGACGAGCGTTGGCAATAGCGGGTCGTAGATTCGCAAGACCTCCGCAGATAATAGCGCGGCTTTGAGAGCCAAAAATGATTCCCGCGCATCCTCTCCGAAGTCAAACGGTCGGTCCTCGCATTGAAGCTTGGTCAAGTGGGCCGCGATCTTCGAGTATCCCTTGATGAAACGCTGGTAGTAGCCGGCAAGGCCAAGGAACGAACGGACATCCGTGACGTTCCACGGCTCCGGCCACTCTTGGATGGCTTGAATCTTGTCCGCCAACGGACTGATGCCCTCCGGTGTGACAAAATGGCCCAAGTATTCCAGCTCTTGCCGGACAAATTCGCACTTGTTGCGGTTGGCTTTGTACTTGGCGCGGCGGAGCGTCTCCAACACTCGTCGAAGGTGCTCAAGATGATCCTCGAATGATCGACTATAGACGAGAATGTCGTCTAAGTAGACCAGCATGAACCGGTCCAACATCGCACGAAACTCGTTGGTCATTGCCGCTTGAAAGGTCGTCGGGGCGTTGGTGAGGCCAAAAGGCATGACCACCCACTCAAAATGCCCATACCGCGTCTTGAACGTGGATTTATAGCGATCGTTCGGCCGGATCGAAATCTGATGGCATCCCGACTTCAAATCCAACTTAGAGAAGTACTTTGCGTCGCCCAGTCGCTCAAGAAGATCATCGATACGAGGAAGAGGCCCCGCATTCTTGACGGTTTGCGCGTTGAGCTTGCGGTACTCGATGCACAATCGTAGACCTTTGTTCTTCTTTCGTACGAAGAGAATTGGTGCTCCATATGGGGAGCTACTAGGGCCGATCCAGCCCTTATCCAACAAGTTATCGAGTTGCGTGCGGAGGACCGTAAGATCCTCCTCGCTCATGCGATAAATGCAACCTGTCGGTGGCACGACACCGGCCTCAAGAATGATCTCGTGAGAGATCCGCCTATCCGGCACCACACCGGTAGGTGACTCGAAGATGTCGGTGAACCCGTCAAGCAACCGCACCACACGGGGGTCCAAAGACAAGTCCGTGGGTGAAGAGTCGGCTACCGCGACGGTCCGTAGGAAGCATAGGCCTATCTCGTCGGGCTGCTCGTAAGCGCAAGTAGCCCGGAACGACTTGGCCGTCACCACGTGGCATCGGATCGAAGGGTGCGGAAGAGGAATAGTACACGGTACTTCGGCGCCGAAAGCGTCGCGAACGGTAAGAGTCTGGCGGTGGAAGTTGACCATGTGATCCGCACTTGCAAGCCAAGGCATTCCCAAAATAATGTTGAAGTCCGTGTCCAAAATGTCGAATGTCACCGGTTCGCATGCATGAGGTGCGAAATACACCGGTACGGCCTCGATGTAGCAATCGATAAGTTGCTGCGTCCTTCCGTCCGCCAACTTGATCGCCGTCGGGTTTGCCTTCCTCCGAACTTGTGTGCCAAGACCAGCCCTTTGCATAAAGGCTTGGCTCATAAAATTGCGAGACGCGCCGCTATCCAGCAAAGCGCTGCAGGACGCTTGCCCAACTTCGATGCGGACATAAAGGAGCAATGCGTTGTTGTCATCGTACCGATGCTTGCGAAACTTGCGGGCCACCTTGGTAATATACTCAAGGATGTCCCCCACCGCAACGTCGTCATCCGTCAACAAAGTCGGTGGTGCATAGAACGATAAATATGTGTGAAGATGAGCGCATAATGTTGCGCATTACGGTCCCGGCAAGCGGCCCGTGGTCGGGAGAGGAAGCCATGTGAAATCCTTGGACGTGAGCGGGTCCAATACCTCTATGTTGGACTCACGCGCCGAATCCCATGAAGAACCACTTGAAGACGATAAAATCGCCGCTGCCGGACGGAGAAGATGCCGCATACACGTCTTGTCCTTGAGCATGAGTACCCAGCTTAGGAACGAGCCGGGCAGCATAGTCCTCGTAAGAAAATATAAGAGGAGGACTATTGACTTCCGCATGTGCCTCAGAACGAAGGGCGGTCAGCCGCGAAGCGACTGGTTCCGAAGGCGTGGAGAGTGTCGTCGAGTCACTCCTGGCGGTGCTCAGTTTCCCGATTTGCCTTTGCCTTTTGATTGGCAGCGTATTGTGTCGTGGAGATCGCTGTTACACCATAGACAATAGCGGAATCTCGTGCGTGCCTTGTATGCCTGTTGGGAGAGACCATAGTGGGACCATGGGGCTTGAGCTGCTGCGCCGGGCCCGGGGCTAGATGTGGTGTTTGTCTTCGCCTTGCCGTGTCCTCGGCCTTTGCCAGGGCGACCAGCATCCCGGGCGGCTGCGAGTTTGTCCCCTTCATTGGCAGACACGGCCTCACTAGTTTGGTCGTTTCGCGTTGCCGCCGCGACCACGACCACTTTGGGCCGATGCTGATCTTTGCTCAGGCCTGCTGCAGACGAACGGTGGAGGTTCTTGGCCTCCTTGTTCGTGACAATGATGTGTGCGGCCTTGTCGAAGAGTTCCGCCGTTATCGTCAGGGTCCTCGACGGGAGTCAAGGCATTGCCCAACGCCGGACACGACCTCGAGATGAAGTAGTGTTTGACGGCCTTGAAGCCCATTTGAATGTCCGGGATGGATGTCAAGCGTTGGTACTCGGCAATCCAGTCAACTCTTGGCAGCGTGCCTTGTTCGAAGGTCATCAGCTTGTCCATTGCCTTGATCTCCGGCGGCTCTACTTGGAACCGCTTAGTCTCACGCGGTGCCGAGCTTGAGTGGGTGGCGGCAGTACAGATCCGCTGCTCCAACTGTTTTTTGCGGTTTGCTGTAACTGCACACCGCCCTTGAGGGATCCGACGTCAATCTCCAATGCCTTGAGGCGATTGGAGGTGTTGGAGGAGCTGGCATCCGGGGCGGCGACGGGTTGTTGCTCGGAGCCATACAAGATTGTTGTGCGGTCCAAAGAAGAAAGCGGCCATAGCCACGGAGCTCGGACACAGGGTATCATGAAGGAGAGAGAAAGGTGAAGCGAAGGAGAAGGGAGGAGTGATGAAGGAGAGAGAAACCATAGACAAGGAAGAAGGAAGGAGGGACAACGAGAGTGGAGGAAGCCATAGTCGGGGTGAAGCGAGAAAAAGGAGAAAGAAAGAAGGAAGAAGGAGGAGGATAAGGAGGTTGGCGAGGAAGAAAAGGGGGCGGTAGCCATAGCTAAGTTGAGGGTGACCAACGCGTTGACCAAGGGGTTGACCAAAGTTGACTTGGGAGTTGACTCAGGCGTTGACCAAGGTGTTGACCGAGGTTGACTAGAGTGTTGACCAGGGGTTTGACCGGCGTTGACCAAGGCGTTGACCAGAGTTGTTGACCACGAATTTGACCAAGTTGGAGCTGGTATATTCTCGCCAAGCCTTCAGCCTATCCCCTCGCCCTATGGATGTGCACTCACCCCATGGTACTTGAGTCTGTCTGTCCCTTCTTTCTGCATTGAGTCTCTTTTGTCTAGGTGATAGGAACTCTGTGTATGAAGGATATAGCCTTGTTGACCAAACCCACACGGGATGAGTAGGGCTAAAGGCCGTGTCTGACGACTCGACTGTCCCGGAGGACACGAACCCTCCCAAGGACCGGTACTAACCGGCGGGCTGCTCGGTGTGGCACTGTAGGCCCAAAATCCGAGCTGTGGGCTGCACACCACGCTGTTTAAGTCTTGAGAGGACTTGCTGATCGCGTCGTCCTGTCTGCCACGTTATATAATTCCTGAGGAGTTACGAGGGATCTCCTTAAATGCCTCCTGATCAGCAGTAAGTCCTGTAGTGATAGCCTTAGCTTAGGTCCAGGCTAGAGACCATAGCTGACAGGATCTTGTTAAGATTCTGTGGTCCTTGGATCGAGAAAGTTCTAAGTTGAGTCAGTCAAGGGTGTGAGTCTAAGTGGCGAGGAGGTTGAGACACGTAGTGGCAAGACTACCACCCCTTATACGAAAGCTCAGGAAGAGCAAGTCGCCGTCGTACTTAAAGAGAGAAAAGAGGAGGAGGCCAAGAAGGAGTTGATTAGGCAGACCAAAAAGTTGGCCTTACAGCAGGAGCAGGCGGCGAAGATGAAGAAGGAGGAAGAGATGGAGAGACTGAGGAAGGAGGAAGAGAAGATGAAGGAAGTAGAAGAAGAAGAGGTAGAAGAAGAGGAGGAAAAGGAGGAGCCCTTGGAGAGGACGCACAAAGGAGAGAGGTGAGTTCAGTGGCACGAAGAAGGAGGAATCAGGGCTGGAAAAGAAGATCTCTGAGTGGGTAGCTAACTTATCTTTGGGAGAGGAGGAAGAGGCCATGTTGTATGTTCCCCCAGAGGAGAAGGAAGCCGTAATTAAGGAGTGGGAAGGGGAACAAGATTCCTTAAGACGCCAGACAATTGAGGAGGAGAAGAAGTTAGAATGGAAATTGCGTCTTATGAGGGAGAGGAAAAGGAGGATGGATGAGGCGAGTCAAATAGCGAGGGAGTTGGTGGTGATCAAGGAGCAACGAGCGCAAATCCAAGCACAAGCTGACATACAAGGGAAATTAGATATTATGTCCAGGAACATTGAGCTCTTAGCCAAGGCCTGGGAGGAGCGGTATCAGTTTTCGAGAGCCCAAGATATGACCTTACACTCCATACGCTTAGGCTTTCGAGATTTCGCACGTGAGATGATGCGACACGTAGGTGTTGAGGTGCAGGCGAGATTGGAGGGCACGGAGAAGTTTTGTACAGGCGCCATTGAGAGCGCAAAGCTGGCTGTGCCAAAGGAGGAAGAGCTACGCCCCCGTAGAGAGCCCCTTAAGATGAAGTTTCCTGAGTCCTATGGCGGGAAGAAAGAGGAAAATTTCGATAATTGGGAGGCGAATGTAAATACATATGTTTATTTACAACACATAGTGCCAGAGGAACAAGTCCTCATCGCCTTCCAGGCCCTCAAGGATGAGGCCACCAACTTTGCTAGGTCGCTAGCTCACGCTGCACAGTGCGAGAATAACATGGTCGCTTATTCTACGCTCACAAATTGCAGACTATCCACTCACGTCAGTGGAGAAGTGCCAGAGCACTGAAAGGCATAATGGACGAGCTTGTAGCCGTCCCAGACCACGGGGTCACTGAGCCCCAGTTGGTCAATCTCTTCTTTCGTGCCATGCCAGAGCCCCTACGGGTGCACTTCTTTGAGAATAGCCGACAACCCACCATGACATACGATGCGTTAAGTAGAGAGGTGGTGCTGTTTGAGGCGCAGTCCATTCCAATATCCACTTTCTGGCACAAGGACCTGGACAAGGGTGGAAAGGTCGTACTATCTCTGGCCAGGTTAGGGCCAAGGATCATTTGATCCTTACACTAGACGAGGGCGGTACGGACGAGGTCCCATACAGCCAAATTGAGTGGGGCCTAGAGGAGGAGGACAGTAGTGGGGGTCAAGGGAGGACCTACGCTGCTGTCGCGGCTGGAGGGAGGTCGCAAGGTAGAGGAGGAGGCCAGGGCCAAGGAGGCCGGGCCTCAGGTGGCCGAGGACAGAGCGCTCAGGGGGTTGGCGGTAGAGGAAACCGCCAAGAGGGAGGTAGGGGTCAAGGTCTCCCGCCAAATCGCTCATGATCTTACCGGTCACCTCCAAGGAGAGGTGGATGGCACCTTGGCTTGGCACAGGGCAGGCCATGGGAAGACCTGGGCTTGGACCAGACTGTGTGGCAGTGTCGTGTGGACCAGAATCAGTGCATTTACTGCGGTGATCCTGGCCGCATAATTAAATATTGTCCAAAGTACAGAGAAGCCCGGTATGCTGCACAAGCAGCAAAAGACAACCACCGGTAGGGGTGGCAACTGCCCTTACCCCTAGGCCAAGTGGAGAAGAGTGCGCGCACCATAGAGGAACTCCCAAACCACATGAGCTTACGACAGAGGTTGCTGGCCAGTACCTAGACAGCTATCCAGAGACTGCTTGTGTAAGCGTCTCCCTAGGTACTTCCCTCACAGGCGTGGCTGAAGAGTTGAAGGAGAGAATGCCTGCCTGGGCCAAGATGAAAAAGGATGCCAAAGGACAACTAGTATTAGTAGACGTAGAGATTTTTAGAGGTAGAGTAGGGGCCCTTATAGACAGTGGGGCCACCCGCAACTATATCAGTAGGAAAGCATTGCAGAAGTTAAAGCTAAACTTGAAAGTCCAAAAGTTAGCAGACCCTATAGTCATTATCCTCGCAGACAATCGCGCTATGCGAGTCGAGGATTACGTCGAGGGAGTCCAGGCGTACTTTCGCCTAGAGAAAGATGGGAAGGTGGAGAAAGTTCTCCATTCCCAGACTCTCCTCGTAGAAGACAGTCTTCGTTTTGGTATAATCCTAGGAATGGACTGGGGAGAGGCAACAGGGGACACACTCCATTTGAGAGAGCACGAGTGTAGGCTCCCTAGCCCCACAGGTGAAGTTAAGACTGCTTGCCTGTTCCATGTGTCTGGAGTAGACAACACCCTGGCACATTGCTGCCTCAGCGCTCCCGCGTTCGCGCGATTAGTAAAGAAAGAAGAGGAGGTTTTTGTGGCCTACGTAAGGCCAATCATTGAGCCTAAGGAGGAGACACCCATAGACCTTGCTATTGCCAAGCTGCTGGAAGAACATACAAACCTAGTTAAGCCGCCTACATGAGTAGTGCTGCGATCGATCCAGCATCGCATAGAGATAGAGCCTGGCAGTAGGACTCCTAAGGGAGCGATTTACAAAATGTCCCCAAGGGAGTTAGAGGAGCTACGTAAGCAATTAGATGAGCTCCTTGAGAAGGCTTGGATTAGGCCCAGTTCGTCCCCATTTGGAGCACCTGTTCTCTTTGTCCCCAAGAAAGAGGGAGAGCTTACAATGTGTATAGACTATAGGGGTCTTAATGCTATCATAGTGAAGAATGCAGAACCACTGCCTCGTATAGATGATCTGTTAGACCGGGTGCAGGGCTGCAAGTATTTTTCGAAGATAGATTTAAAGTCCGACTATCATCAAATAGAGGTTCATCCTGATGATCAGTACAAGACAGCATTCCGGACCAGATATGGGCATTATGAGTTTATAGTTATGCCCTTTGGACTAACCAATGCGCCAACGACTTTCCAGCGCTGCATGAACGATTTGTTTAGGTCGTGGTTAGATAGATTTGTTGTAGTATATCTAGATGATATTTTAGTGTTCAGTAAGACCCTCCAGGAGCATGAGGGCCATCTGAGGCAGGTCTTGGAGAAGCTTAGAGAGGCTAACTTCAAGATCAGCGCCAAGTAGTGTGAGTGGGCCAAGACACAGGTTTTGTAGCTGGGCCACGTCTTAGAGGGAGACGGTGTTAGACCTAAAGACAACAAAATCGCAGCGATTAGAGATTGGCCAACGCTCCGCACACTGACAGAGTTGCGGTCGTTCTTAGGCCTAGCTAATTACTATAGGAAGTTCGTCAGGAACTTCTCCACCATCTCTGCACCCCTTCGCAGGTTGCTAAAGAAATAGGCAATTTGGAAGTGGGACACGGACTGCACAACTTCCTTGAAGAGATTGAAGCGGACCCTGATAGAATATCCAGTCTTTAAGGTAGTCGATCCGTCCCTGCCATTTGTTGTTACCACTTACGCCAGTCAGTATGGCATAGGCGTTGTTTTACAGCAAGATGAGGGCAATGGATATACACCCGTAGAGTTCATGTCCGCCAGGATGCCTTCAGAAAAGGTGGCGACATCCACTTATGAAAGGGAACTCTACACTCTCAGGCAAGCATTAAATCACTGGAAGCATTACTTGCTTGGGAGGCACTTCAAGTCTATTCAGACCACGAGACACTAAGGTGGCTGAAGACTCAGGCCAAGATGATACCTAAGCTTACTAGGTGGGCCGCAGAGTTAGACCAGTATGACTTTGAACTGAAGCCAGTTAAAGGGAAGTACAATGTAGTAGCGGACGCTCTGAGTAGAAGAGCTGATTACTTTGGGGCAATAGTTCACTATCTAGATATAGGGAGAGACCTGCAGCAGAAAGTTAGAGAGGCATATGCACAAGACCCTATCTACAGTGATCTCCTCAAGAGAGTTAGGGAGGCCCTAGAGTCTGAGCCAAACTACCGCACTACTGACGGCTTATTATTCGAGAAGACTAAACCGCCTGTGCGTTCCCAACAGCGAAGAGATCCGGAGTTTGATCTTAGGGGAATGCCATACAGATGGACACTTTGGTTGGCAAAAGACACTAGCCAACCTCATGTGCGCGTACATCTGGCCTGGTATGAAGGCTGACTGCATGGACTATGTCCGCAGTTGCAAAGTCTGTCAGTGAAACAAGACTACTACGCGCGCCCCTCTCGGTCTTCTCAGACCTTTGCCTCTTCCTGATAGACCCGGAGATTCTCTGTCCATCGACTTTATGGATACTCAGGTCAAGATTAGGCATGGCAAAAGTTAAGTCATGGTCATAGTAGATAGATTTAGCAGTATGCAGTTTTTGTTCCTTTGCCTGCAGAGGCACGCACAGACTTAGTAGTTCAAAAGTTTTTTGACCATTGGGTCAGTGAGCATGGTATACCGCTGTCGATAGTTAGTGACAGGAATACCAGATTCACTAGTCAGAACTGGCAGGAGCTGATGAAAGTTTATGGCTCGAAGTTGCTGATTCCATCTGGTCGTCATCCTGAGACTAACGGCCAGACTGAACAGATGAACAAGCTCCTGCAGCAAGTTCTTAGAATGTGTATTAGGCCCGATCAGGTCAATTGGGATGAGATGCTCCCAAAGGTAGCCAGTGCCTACAATAATAGCGTGCACTTATCTACGTGTCGCACTCCCAATGAACTGCACAAGTCCTTTAGACCGCGCAGACCATTTGAAGGACTTAATCGGGATCAGATTCAGAGGCTGCCGCCCGGGACACGAGAGTTTGTGTTACAACACGAAAAAAAATAGCTATCGTTGTAGATAACCTCAGGAAAGCCCAGCATAGAATGATAGAGCAAGCTAATAAGCATCATCGCCCCTCACAGTTTCAAGTAGGCGACTTAGTCTGGGTCAAGTCAAAAGAGTTCGCTCCTGAGGAGAACATCTCACAGAAATTGCTGCCTGCGTATAGAGGCCTGTGGCCAGTCTTAGAAGTCAAGGGCGGAGAGGATGGACCGTCCTACACTATTGAGATTCCAGCACACCTCCACACCTACCCAGTGTTCCATGCGTCAAAGCTGTTGCCTTGCGTCACAAGTCAACAGTTCCCGTCATGCAGATCTATGATTCCTCCAGATATGGATGGAAGATATGACATTGAAGGGATAGTAGGTGAGGATGTCTTCAGGACAGGAGGTAGAGGTCGTCCACAGAAACAGTACAAAGTCCGATTTGCCTATCAAGAGTCAGAAGACGACCGCTGGTTCACGCGAACAGAACTTCTAGAGACAGCTCCCGACATAGTTCGAGCCTACCAAAGAGACAAGAAAGGAAAAGGCCCCGCCTTAGACTGAAGTATTCTTGGAGGACCTTGAATTTAGGCCGGCAGGAGTGAAACGGTTTTCACCTTTCGGCAGTCACGGATGCGGGCCCTAGAGTTCGATCCCCAGACCTCACTTTGTCCATGTACAGTATCGAGTCGACCCCTGAGTGTTTGAACCCGTGATCTGTGTTTTGGTAGTTGTTTGTCGTCTGTCGTAGGTCCATGTAGCGGTAGGGGTTTGATCTGTAGGTCTGTCGATTAGGAGTCACAGCTCTGTAGAGGTCGTGGCTGTAGATGCTCTGAAAGGTCAAGGTCGTAGCTGCTACAGTACCCGAAAGGCCAAGTCCACAGCTTCAGAGGCAAGTGGGCAAGTGGTGAGCCAACTGCGTTACGTCGGCAGTGCGACTGCATCGAGTTGGCAGTGCAAACCC